GGAACATTTTTTGGGAGCATGGTTTCCCTAACAACAGAGATACCTACAGAAGTCGGCAGAGAAGGAAGGATGAGGAAGCAGCGCGGATCAGCAGGTTGGAGGAATATGTTCGTGAGTCACGGGAGGCGTTGCTTCAAGCACAGGAGCACGAAAAAGACATGCAAGGTAGAATGCAGGACGAAATCATAAAGCAAGTGCAAATAGCAATGAGTGCCCAAAGGCAGGCATCAGATCTAGGAATCAACATTAATATTAGCCCCCCTGATCAGTTGAAAAGCAGATGCGCTTCCACGGAGTTGCCAAATCAAGATGACGCAATGCTACGTTTCCCCGTGGATGACATCACTGCACCGTTTACATCATGTGAGCTACATATTCCAAAAGGGAATGCCACAATCATGGTGGCTCTCGGTGTTTTTTATCCTCCAGATCCTACCAAGACACCAAGAATCCATGGGGCAATAATACCACATGGATATGTTAGCGTCTCAGTGGATATAGTAAATAAAGGTTTTATTGATCTGGCTCATGACATTCTAGGAGGTGATGGGGAGAAGACTCTAGGAGAAGCAGAGAAGACATTCATACTATGGCGCAAGAGCTACATCATTATTCCCGGGGTCTCTAGTCCACCGCCGCTTCCTCAACTGCCAGACAATAGGTGCGGACAAAAGTGAACGAAATAATTTTTTCACTAATTTTCTATTGACATGCATGATTAATAATAACAATTTCTTATACCTAATTATTCTTTTTTGTACTCACACAGCAGGGCCTCAGCCAACCTAACTCCAATTATTCAATCTCCAAATCATCATAGTGCTTCGAGCAATCAGGTGGCAATGCCGCCACCGCCGCCACCTCCAAGGAGGTCTCCAACGCCTTCAAGGAGGTCTCCAATGGCTGCCCCGCCTCCCTTGATGACCAAGAAGCAGCTAGCTCCTAAGATGTCCGCCCCACAAACAAAGCCGTTGGCCCACCAGTCAGCAAAGAAGAAAGCCTTCTCTAATCCAGTTATTCCTCAAAAACTGTCTTACGAGAAAAGTGAAAAGAAATTAAATGCTGCAGTACGAAAAGATGTGAACAATTTCTTCAAAAAAGTAAGAAAGCAACGAGAAGCGAGGGAGAACTTGAAGAAACCGTACTTCTACCTACCTCCAGATCTTCTAAGAAACAAGGTGGACCAGAAAAAGCGGGAATCTCAAAAGACCCTACCAAAATTGGACTACGAACGCTCTCTCATCAAGTCATTTGAGGCGGCGCAGAAAAAGACTAGAGCAGAGAAAGGTGTTGCACAACTTAGACAACAATCGCAACAATCAGTCCCCCTCTTGTCATTCATAATGAATATGGTTCAAACTTAGACTTACTAGACGTCGATTTTAAGGACCTAGTTCGGTTTTACGAGGATACTGATTTGAACCTTGCCAAAGTGCTCGCTGAAGGACCATCTGCTCCGAAAGTGGATCATTGGAAGAAATTTGAATATGGAAAGAGTCTATACAACCCTGAGGGCTTAGGTGAACTAGGTACGCAAATGTACCTACTAAACAAGTGGTACATGACGGCATATGAACGGCGAGAGACCTTTGTTTCTGTCAGAGTTAGAAACCAACATTACTTCCGTGGCGATGACGTTATATATGTCGAGTTTTTAGAATTACACCAACTATGCCACCTGGACTCTCTCGATAAAAGTCTCATTAGCTGTTATTGTCTGTAAGTGTGATTATTTTCTACTATTGAAGTGTATATATATAAAGCTACATGTATATATATAAATTATATATCCTCACACTATATTTTTATATATGCAGATATGAGATGACAGAACTCAGAAAGAGAAAGGATAATGATGTTGGTTTCGTTGATCCAAATGTCGTATTCAAACACCCTAATCCCCCGCCTTAATGGAAAGCTAAACTCGAGAAAAATCTCATGAGGTTCTTAGTGAACCAACAAAACAAGGACATACTCTTCCCCTACAACTTCAAGTGAGTGTTAAATAATTAATGTCGATCATATGGACATTTGTTCAATTATTTGCTTACTAGCTAAGCTATCTCCCATATATATATATATATATATATATATATATATATATATATGTTGACTCTAGTTAATGTCGATCATATTTGTGTATAAAAATATATGCAGCAATCATGGATATTGATGGTCAATGATATGGCCAATAGTCGGTTGAGCATCTTAGACTCGTTAAGAAAAGAGCAAACAGAGTATCAAGACATGATAGATATTATCCAAGGGTAATTTGATCTCTTTAGCAACTATATATACCCCGATCTCTTAACTGCAACAATTATTAAAGGCCAAATTAATTTTTTATTTTATTGGGCGTAGTGTTTGGAAAAGTTTCATTAAGGAACACCACATGAAACATTGCAAAGCGCCACTGGATGTAATCGCACACAAAGTAAGTACTAGCTACATTTTAATATATATAATTCAATTAACACCATGCATGCTTTCAATTCACCGGATCTTTTTTCTCATAAAAGTGGGTTCTGAGGCAAGAACAGAGGACCAACTACTGTAGATACTATGTTTGCGTGTTTATCATGGCGTACGCAAAAAGAACTCCTAAAGAGATCCTCAAAGTACGTTATATAAATATATTCATATATTCACAATTTCTTTTATTGCTCATATATATAAGTAATCACGTGACCAACACACATATATATATTAATACTTTTCCTTTAACTTTTATTGAAAACTCTATGGTTGAAGAAAAAAGTCATACGACGTGACCAACTGAAAGCAATTCAAGAGACCATAGCAGGATTTCTTAATGACCAGGTCTTAAACCCCGTCGACGAGTTCTACAACGACGTGAACGAAACATGGAAGCCAAATCAGATGGCGTGAATTTGTTATCTCAAGGATATGATAGAATATACAATGCAAGCTTTATTTGTAATATATATATACATATTATATGTACATAAAATAACGTACAATATATGTATATGCATGTAATATATACGTTAAATTTATACTTTAGTTTGCACAAAATGTTCGAACATTATAAGCATGTAGAATACGTATATTATTAGCAGCGTAGAATGCGTATTCAAAAACCTATTCGAAAACCAAAACGAATCATCAATTGAAAATAGAAAAAAAAACCCTTTAGTCCCGATTGGTAATACCAACCGGGACTAAAGGCCTGGCCCACGTGGCCAGGCCGGGAGGCCTCTTTAGCCCCGGTTGATATTACCAACCGGGACTAAAGGTTCAGGCGAGAAATCGGGACTAAAGGAGGGGCCCTTTAGTCCCGCATTCGTACTCTCGGTTAGAAAACCAGGACTGAAGGGGTTTTCCAACCGGGAGTACAACTCGTTTCTATACTAGTGCCTGCTGCTATGCATGCACGCCATGCTGCTGGGCATGCACGCGGAGACCACCTCTTCCTGCGCTCCCTTCCCATGCCTGCTAATGAAAACATAACGAAACATTTGCTGCAACATAATGATGAAACATTTGGAAATATACGCTTACAATATATGTGTGTAGCCACTGTAACATATGCAATATCCAGATAAAACACTTGCAACATAAATCTGAAAATAAATGAAACATTTAAAACACACACTTGCAATATACGTGTATTCATTGCAACATATGCAACTTCCACATAAACACTTACAACTTGCAACATGAAAACACTTGTTGCAACATAAGACTGAAACATTTAGAACATAATCTAGCAACATATGTGTGAAACATACGAAACATCCAGATTAAAACGCTTGCAAACATACGTATGAAACAGACGAAACATTTTGAACAAGCGCTTGCAATATTCATCTGAAACACTTGCAACATATGCAACATATGCAATATCCCGATCTACTTTGGCAACATCCATATGAAGCACTTTCAACATATCTTTAAAACATCTGAAGCACTTAAAACATACGCTAGCAACATGCGCTTCCAGCGCAGCGCAACATCTCCATGCTGCTTGGGAGAATGGAGACTCGTCGGCGTGTGGAGTTCACCGGAGGCAGCAGCCCGCTGGTAGCGGCTGTGCGACGCGACAAGGAGGACACAACAAGAGGGCAGCACCCGCATGACTAGGAGAGGGAGCCACTCGTGCCACCCCTGTCGTGCTGGTTCACCCGTGACCGGGGCCGCCGGCACCGTTGCGCCGCCGTGTCGAGGGCCGCTCGAGCCTCCTCATCGTAGCCTGCTGACCCCGAGGCCGCTGCGCCACCGTGTCGAGACCCTCGCCCATACTGCAGGGAGAGGGGGGGGGAGGGAGGGAGTAGCGCCAGAGGCACGGGAGAGAGGAGCAATGGTGGATAAGGCACGCATGCGGGCATAGGCGAGTTAGGGTCCGGGTAAAGGCGCGGGGAGGTCAGGTCCAGGTACAGGCACGGCGCGGGTCGGGGTCTGTCCATCCGGACGTCCTCGTCCTATCATTATCGGAAGAATTATTATATATTAAAAAATAAGAACCAGTACATGAAATACAAAATGCAATAAAATAGATTACAAACGAATTTTACAACAGTAGCAGAAACGCAGTTGCGCTATCATTGTTTCTGCACGGGAGACCTGATGCTGATGGCCAAGACGAGTTTCCCTCCAACGACACAGCGCGTGTACACGCCTGCCCAGTCTGACTAAAGTGGACCGACGACCCGGTCCACTGCACCATGTGAAAGGCCCATTTGACTGTAGCATTGTCTCGTTCTGCCGTGCCGAGCCCAAGTGCCCAACCCGGCCTGCCTCGCCCTTCGGACTAGAGAGACGGTCAGACGGAGACGGAGTTCGAATCCGTTTTGTTCTTCTTGATGACGCCCCCTTTTTCGTTTGCCAATAAATTGAGATTTAATACTTGAGCAGCGTTAAAGAGGAAGAGAGAGAAAAAGAAAAAAAAAACGAGGCGCAGAAGCCAGAAGAACCAACTCCCAACCTCCCGCTCCGATCTCGATCTCACCGGCGGCGCCGCTGCCGCCTCCGCTGCCGCGATGATGGATCCAGAGATGCTGCGGCTGGCGCAGGAGCAGATGCGCCGCATGTCCCCGGACGACATCGCCCGGATGCAACAGCAGGTACCGTCGCCCGCCTGTCCGCACACACACAGACCCGATCCCCGTCCCGCTCGTCCCCTATTCGACGCGGCGGGCGGTCCAGCTGTTTCTGTTTGGGGGGGTCTAGGTGGATGTGGATCGTGGAAAGCAAACGCCCGGTTAGGTTGCATTGGGTTTTCCTGTTTCTGGTTTAGTACAGGTTGCGCCGAAAACGCATCCGTTATGTGGATGCTGCCGGATGCGCGTAGTATGCTGTCGAGGTTGCATGCACGTTGAATTGAAGTCAATCGAGGAGTGTGGCTGTAATCCCTGGGCTTAACTGGGTTTGAATTGGTTTGGCTTGATTGACTGGTGACGCCAACGGAATGTTTATTCCTGCTGTCATAGACAGAGCCGCGTGCTGGTGCCTAGATTAAGTGCAGTCGGATCGTCGTTGCTGGGTCTTCTGCTCACTAGTTCAGGTTTATGTGCTTTGCGCTAACTACTTCAGTCTTATGGGTGGTTCAGTGGTTGGGCTTCGCAAATGCTTAGTGTGTGCTTCCTGTTCAGATTGCACATTACGCTTCAGTTTGTGCAGTGTTTCAATGCTCTTTCATCAGTATAGGCTAGGTCAGCACCCTTTAGTACAGAGGTCTAGTGCATGTAATGATTCAGGGAGCATTTCAGATTGCCTGTCCACTCTCATTTTTGAGGCGCCCAGCATGTTTTCCCCTTGCCCTTCTTCACTTAAATGTTGTCTGTTACATCCTGAGGAAGTGTGCATAGATGGCAAGAGATTGACAAAGCCCTTGTTGCTACTTGGATAACTGCAGCTGATGTCTAACCCTAACCTCATGAGGATGGCGTCTGAGAGTATGAAGAACATGAAGCCTGAGGACTTAAGGCGGGCTGCGGAGCAACTGAACCAAACAAGACCGGAGGATATGCGTGATATGACCGAGAAAATCGCCAACACTACTCCCGAGGAGTTTGCTGCTATGAAGGCGCAAGCAGACGCTCAGATGTCGTATGCGATATCTGGTGCCAAGATGTTAAAGAAGCAGGTTAGTGGAAAAAACTGTGCATATCATTTTGTTACTGTTATTTGTTCGTTATGATTAGTAAGCAGGCTGATCTGTTGTGATGAATCTCCATGATTCATATTATATGTATTTGTAGAATATGCTAGTACTTCTGTCGCTGTCAGTGCTTTCATTTTGGTTCACACAGAACAATCTTTCATTGCTCCGAACAGTCCTCCAAAAAAAAAATTAAAGAAGAAAAATTCACATAGAAAATGCACTATGTTAACTGAATTTGTGAGTGTTATTTGGAGGCCTGGTGCAAGCGGTAGAGTCTTACCGCCTGTGACCGGAAGGTCCTGGGTTCGAGTCGCGGTCTCCTCGCATTGCACAGGCGAGGGTAAGGCTTGCCACTGACACCCTTCCCTAGACCCCGCACAGAGCGGGAGCTCTCTGCACTAGGTACGCCCCCCTTTATTTGGACTGGATACACCTGTCTTTGAAACAATATTTCTGCACTATGTTAACTGAATTTGTGAGTGTTATTTGGATTGGATACACCTGTCTTTGAAACAATATTTATCTTCAGTTTTTAATATAAAAATGAAGGTAAGACCCACATGTTAGTCTTTGTTTGGATCCAAATTGTCATGGCATGGGCTAGACACGGTCATGTCTATTGCTAATTGGAAGGACATGTTTTAAACTATTTGTTGTGCACTTGCTTGAGTGTTGGGGGATGTGTGTTTCCTGGATTTGGACATTAATGATGAAAATTGAACAACATGTTTCTGTATAACTTAAGAAATTAAACCACACAAAGGATACGCTTGACCTTTTCCTTATGTTAATCTTGATATACTTATATTTTTTGTGCTGATTATCTTGTACACTAGATGAATGTATCTTTATTTGTTTATTTTTTGCTGACTTATTGCATTTTTGCACCTATGGAGTTTATATCAATGATCTTGTCGCTATCAAGAGCCTGCATCAAACAATTAATGCAGTTAATTTGATATAGGGTTTTCCAGGTTTCTATATATATGTTGCCAATTTCCATTGTCTCACCCTTCTGATTTTTATTGACTTTAGGGAAATGAACTTCATAACCAGGGACAGTATTCAGATGCTGCTAGCAAATACAAACTTGTGAGTTTTGAACATAAAATATTCCATTAAAATAATGTTGATATACTTTTCAGATGACCTGAAAGTTAAACTATATGTACTGTTCTTGATCAGGCCAAGGATAACTTAAAAAGCATACCATCATCCACGGCGCATACTCTGCAGTTGCAATGTACCCTTAATTTAATGGCTTGTTACTTGAAAACAGGCCAGTATGAGGAATGCATAAGTGAAGGTTCAGAGGTATGCTTAGGTCATGTAGTATCTTACTGCCTTTTCAATTTAACAAATTCTCGGATCTGATACCATTTTATTTCCTAGTACAAGATAGTTTGGCATTCTTGATGAAGTCTTTTTTCTGTCATAGCATACTGTTTTAGTAATAAAATGTTGTCCATCATATCATGGTGTTTTCTCTATCATTCGAATTTCATGACTCTGGTACAAATTTACTGCTTTAGCAAACTATATGCGGTAAAATGTGTGAATTCTGTAAAATAAGGTCTTTTTCCTAAGATTACTAACTGAAGGCAAATTAAATCTACTTCAATGTTTTTGACCTGGTAATATGTGTGACTAAACGTCATACCGCTACATATCTTATTGCATGTGATAATTGACAAATTGGATACCTTTGGCTAGAAATTTATTAGTCTTTTCTGAATTTTTAAAGAAAAAATATGTTGTCTATTGAATCACACAGAGCATTGTGGTTCTTCTATTGATGGCATACTGACTGATCTTCAAATGGATTACAGGTTCTAACTTATGATTCAAACAATGTCAAAGCTTATTATCGGAGGGGTCAAGCGTATAAAGAACTTGGGAAGTTGGAGGTAATGCTTTGATCCTTTTTTGGGGGCATATTTTTTTTTAACCTTTACAATTCCCCTGACTATACATGAAAGAATCCTGAAAATGCATTCAGGCGGCTGTTGCTGACTTGAGTAAAGCCCATGAAATTTCCCCAGAGGATGAAACTATTGCTGAGGTTCTAAGGTAGGTTTCATGTTCTATCACAGTTTGTACCTTATCCCTGATGTAAACAAATGTGTTTAGCAACTTTAATTGACACCACTGTAATATGTTCCATTCATGATGCAGAGATGCTGAAGAAAAACTTGCACGGGAAGGGGGAGGAGTGAGCACACGGAAAGGTGTTGTTATTGAAGAGGTTGTAGAAGATGACGCTTCACAGCCATCAAGCAGTCAAAGAAGTTCTCCTGGGTATATTGTTTCACAACCACCTGAAGTAGCAGGAAATATTGGGCTGTCAGGATCTCAAGAAAGGTCAAGGGATGATCCTGCTTCTATCAGGTAACATGACCCTTTTCTTTTAGTTTATGCTACTTTCAGCTTTTCTCTCTGCATGTTATATGACTTATATCTGAATTGGAGCACTAAATTGTTGATGCGTGCCATTTGATGCTAGCATCACTTCAAATGCCTTCATCTTTTGTTGTTTTGATTAGACATGTTTACATATTCTGTTATGACAACATAGTGTGCCTACATTTTTTTATAACTATATCGACAATCATGCCTTGTTGGATGTTTCAGTTTTTGGTTCACAATTAGTTCTCATTCTTTGCCGCAAAGTGGTAAGCAAAGTGGTAAAATGGTTGCCCATTACTTTCTCTATTGTCAGCTTTCTGGATGGGCCTAACCTATCTATGCAATCTATTCATGCTTAACACAATAATTTCACATCTGATGTAAAAAGCTCAAGCTCTTTAACTATGTTCATGTTACTATGATCTTAAACATAAATCTTTGTGCATGTCCTCTATCCATGAATCCTTTTAATATTTTCTCACAGATGTTTATAGTGTATTGTTTGAATAATGTTAGATATGTTGATTGATAATGTTCTCATCCTGGTGAATTATATTAGGTCATCCAAAAATTATGTGTCCAAGAGCGATCCTGAAGGCTTATCAAAGTTCGGAATTGAAGGAATGTCACCTGAACTTGTCAAAACTGCCACTGATATGATTGGCACAATGAAACCAGAGGAGCTTCAGAAAATGTTCGAAGTCGCTTCTTCAATGAATGGCACTAGCTCCGTTGGTCCAAATCTGGGACCCAATATGCCAGAAATGTCTCCTGATATGCTTAAGATGGCATCTGACATGATTGGTAATATGTCTCCTGATGAGCTACAGAAAATGATGAGTTTTGCTTCTCAGATGGGTGGGCCTGGTGGTGCCCCCAGGAGATCAGAGAATAGTAACTTTGGACCTTCATCGAGAGCTACAACAAGTATTTCAGCCCGTGGATCATCATCTGAACCTATTTTGGAGAACCCTGATGAACTATCAAATGACCAAAGGATGGGCCAGTCGTCTTCTAGTCTTCCACCTTCTACAGCTGATATGCAAGAAACCATGAGAAATTCTATGAAAGACCCTGCAATGCGGCAGGTAAGAAATGCTCAGCCAAAGGAAATTGTATTTAAAATTATTGCTTTCTGTAACATTATGCCAGGAAAATTGATCCTTGAAGTTCTAACATCTTTTGGGCTCTTTTTTTTTCCTTATTTAACAGATGCTTACATCCATGATGAAGAACATGAGCCCTGAGATGATGGCAAATATGAGTGAGCAGTTTGGAATGAAGCTGTCAAAGGAGGATGCTGCAAAAGCGCAACAAGCCATGTCGTCATTATCTCCAGAGGATTTGGATAGAATGGTAAGAACCTATTCTCAACTGAAGCCTGGTCACGATATTAATCTTACTGCTTCAATCATTAACTGTGTGATTTCCTTTGCATTCAGATGAGATGGATGGAGCGAGCACAGAAAGGGGTAGAAGTCGCGAAGAAGACAAAGAACTGGCTCTTAGGCCAGCGAGGCTTGATCCTCGCTATTGTCATGCTGATCCTAGCCTTCATCCTTCAAAAGCTTGGGTTTATCGGCAGGTGATGGAGTGACCTGGGGGGCTGGCATCAGCATGGAAATAATTGTTCGAATAGCGATACAGAGTTTCCCCCCATGCTAACAGCTGCTTGAAAGCACTTCGGGGGGAAAGGCTGAAATACGAGAATTCTTTGTATCTGTATCTGTTTGTAACTCTGTTCATAAGCCACAACATTCATCCTATTTTTACAAGCAAAGGAGTAGAAAGGAATCTAGCCGAAACTGTTGTGATAACCAGCTGACATGTCATATGTTATATCCTTGTGGTGTTTTCAGTTTTGAGTTGCAGTTTTGTTTAAAGCATATATGCAAAGTGAAGTGGAACAAGTACATGCGCAGACAGTGTTTGTCTTTAGGATGGAGTGTCATGTTTGATTGAGAGGGATGCTGTTCACTCGATTTTGGGGACATGGACATCTCGTATTGTGGGGATATCCCAGGGATTCTTCTGTCCCCAGTCGCCCCCAACTGACCACTCTTTGCAGTCTTTGTTATAAACATTACCGAACACCGCGCACACACGCAGTGCATGATGAACTGGGTGCTGCTGAGTAGACGAGTTGCTAATCTTATCTAATACTCTTACAAAGAAAAATCCCACTACCATATTTCTCTGGGATTTCGTGACGCTATGTCGTTACCCCCACCAATTCACTAAATACGAACACGAAATTGCATTCGTGAATCCCATCAGGAGTAACTTCGAACACTAAATTGCATTTGCTGCCAATTATTCTCCAAGTACATCTCTTCCTGTCAATCAAGTGCAGCTAAAGAACCGGAGCGTCTCCACGAGTTTCCTACTTTTTTTTCTAAAAACTTATAGTTTGTTAACTCCTAAAATGATTTGGGAAGAAAAAAAAAAGTCATCTCCGAGAGTTTCATATAAATAACGTCTAAAAACATCTGCTTACCTCGCACAAGCCAGTGGCCCGCGCATCCACAGCTGCAATCGCTCCCCTCCTGCCGGTGGCGAGCACCGGGTGCCGGGCGCCCGTCGACGTCCATGTCCTCTTCCGAAAGATGCGCCGAAACACCAAAGATGCGCTGCAGGTGACAGTGAGCTAGTGTGTGTGAGTAGAAGCAGCAAGCTGGAAAAAATGGCGCCTTGCTCTGCTCCTCGCTCGTCTCCCGTCCACCATTTGTGTGTGCACATCCTACTAGCGTACTTGCTCGCGGCGCGGTGGCTCGTGCCATCCTGCTCGGCTTCGTCCTTCTTCCGCGTCCCTTGGGCCGCCGGGCGGCATGACTACCGTCACGCGCTGGCCAAGTCCATCCTCTTCTTCGAGGGCCAGCGCTCGGGGCGGCTGCCGCCGGGCCAGCGAGAGTCGTGGCGCGGGGACTCCGGCGTGTCGGACGGCGCCGCGGCCGGGGTCGACCTGGAGGGCGGGTACTACGACGCCGGCGACAACGTCAAGTTCGGCTTCCCCATGGCGTTCACCACCACCATGCTGGCCTGGAGCGTCGTCGAGTTCGGCGACTCCATGCCGCGCGACGAGCGCCGCCACGCCGCCGCCGCCGTCCGCATCCACAGCTGCATCCACAGCTGCAATCGCTCCCCTCCTGCCGGTGGCGAGCACTGGGTGCCCCCGCAGCGCCTCGGATCGGAGCACCTGCAGCCAGGCCGAGAACGACTCGTCCCGCACGGCCGCCGCCGCGCCGCCCTCGGCGGCATCCACCACGGCACGTACCTTCGAGACGAGCTCCGGTACACGAGCGTGGACACCACGCCGCGGACCTCGGCGGACACCGCGACGCGCCACAGCCCGTCGTCGCCGAGGGAATTGGTTCGATTTTTCCGAAGCGCCTATATTTTAGAGTTAAGATTAGGAGTTGTTGAAGAGGTTTTTTTTCCTCGTTCTTCTCTCTCCATCTCCGATGTGTAAATTCAATAACAACAGTTGGAGTCTCAGGTCTCCTCCCTCCGCGCCTACACCTGCTCGTCTTCTCTTCACAATATCCCTTTATTAAATAATCCACCCGGGCACCCCGCCTTCAAGCTCATGACAACCCAACATCCCACAACTTCACAGCGGATCTACGCACCCCGGTCCGTCCACACCGGGCCGCCGCCGAAGCCAACATGCGCGGTTTCGCGCAGGCAAGCCTGTTCGGCAGGACTGAAAAATAAGACAAAATACTATTTCGACTGATTGTTGCGAGAGAAAAATATTATTTCGACTGATAACACTGTTCATACGAACAGTGTTTTCCTGAGAGCGCTGGCCATCCCAGCCGAACGCGGCCAGCCAGCCGAACGCGCTGGCCGTCGCCGACAGAGAGGAGACGAGCGGACAACGCAGAGGAGCGGACGACGTGCGCAGCTGAGCGGACACGCGGCAGATTAGCAGACAACACGCATGGCTTCGCGGCGTCAGCGCCTCAGCCGAGAGGCGGCGAGCGGACAAGGCAGAGGAGCGGATAAATGCGGGTGGCCTGAAGGCTGCACCAAGCTTCCGTTCCAGTTCGTCTCTCCGTGAATGCATGCATCTCGCATACATGGGAATTGGTCAAGAAATCCGCTATGTGCTTCAGCATGGCGGGCTTGGCGGCCGAACTAAGGATGGCAACGGGTCGGGTTCGGATCGGGTGGAGTCTCCGTGCACCCAAAACCGAAATCCGAAATCGAAACCCGAATCCGCCCCGAAAACCGATTCGGGTGGAAATTCATCACCAAAACAAAACACGTGGATACCCGAAACCCGAACAGATACCCGAAACCCGTGGATATATATACACATATTCACATGTATAAATAAGAGAACAAATAATAAATATTTTTAATGAGTCAACTTTAAATAAATTTAATAATCTAAGTAAACAAATTATTATTAGTATATTATAAAACATGAGTTTTAATTCCAAATGATTTATTTCGGATATCCATTGGATATCCACGGGTGGAAAACCAAACCCGAAACCGAACCTGATTGGTTTCGGGGCCCCGAACCCAAAAACCGTGGGTGAAAAACCATCCCCAAACCCGAACCCGCAGAACCCGAAATCCGCGGATATCCGCCCCAAACTCGATCCGTTGCCATCCTTAGGCCGAACTAGATTAAACAAAGTAGTAATTTATTTGACTTCTATATGTTGCTTCTTGTTTTTTGAGTTGGGGTTGTAAATCCCTTTTATTTTTTCCCTTCTAACAAAAATTACGATAAAACTTTATGTTCCGTTATATATATATATATATATATATATATATATATATATATATATATATATATATATATATATATATATATATATATATATATATGACGAGGCTAAAATGCACCTGGTTGCATTTTGTATAGCAAATGCACCCAGCCGTGAGATGCGCGGAGATCGACGAGCGCCCACGCTCCTGCATGCAAACAACCAGGCAGCCGTTCACTTCTGCATGCAGGAAATCTTTTGTTGATTTCAAACGAAAAAATGTGATATCTTCTAAACCATATATCCGATTTTAGTTCTGTTTGAAGTAGGTTGTTGAAAAAAATATGCTTAACAGAACGAGATCCATGAAGGCTATATTTGATGAAGTTTTTTTTAAATACGTAATTGCAATATGTTGTACTATGAGTTGCAAGCAGTTCTACAACACAATTGCACCTTGGCTGTAGCGTATTTAGCACTAGTTGCTATGAAGGTTGTATTTGATGAAGTTTTTTTTTTAAATACGTAATTGTAATATGTTGTACTATGAGTTGCAAGCACTTCTACAATACAATTGCAACTTGGCTGTAGCGTATTTAGCACTGGTTGCAATTAATGTTGTATTTGATGAAGTTTTTTTTTCAAATACGTAATTGTAATATGGTGTACTATGAGTTGCAAGCACTTCTACAACACAATTGCAACTTGGCTGTAGCATATTTAGCACGGGTTGCAACTCGTTACTACACAATTACTACTAGTTGCAACAAAGTTACTACCCGATTGCAAACCAATTACTACTGATTGCAACTAGTTACTACTCAATTACAACACAGTTGCTACTCAGATATGATTGCAACTCAGAATTGCAACTTGACGGGATTATAGTGACCAGATGCATATAATACACAGTGTTATAACTAGTTACAACTAGGTGGTAGACAGAGTTGCAATCGGTAGTATATTGACATGTAACTCGCTTAAAGGATAAAAAATATATCCATATTGGATCTAGTTTTGCTCAGAATATTTTTTTGAGTCGGATGCAACAAACGGTTTGTCAATCAGGGTTATGATTTAGAAGAAAATTTGGGGCGTGTTTAGATCCAAAAAATTTTGGGTTTTGGCTACTGTAGCACTTTCGTTTGTATTTGACAATTAGTGTCTAATTATGGATTAATTAGGTTCGAAAGTTTCGTCTCGCGATTTCTCACCCAACTGTGCAATTAGTTTTTTTTCGTCTACATTTAGTACTCCATGCATGTGCCGCAAGATTCGATGTGATAGATACTGCGTAAAATTTTTTGGAATCTAAACGGGGCCTTGTTTCAAAGATTCAAACCAACAAAAAAATTCCATGCATGCATGCATGTATTCGCTGGTTGCTCCAAGTTGGTGCGCCCGTCGGCCTGGGTGCATTCTATATATAGGATGCACCTGTGTGTATATAACAAAACAAAGATATATATATATATATATATATTGCATTTTATATACTCCCAGAAGTAATTACTCTCATAATCAATAAATCCCGTTGCGTATATGTACATACTCATTTATCAGTTTGAGTATGTTGACATACTAATATTAAGATACTCCAGATCTTTACTATGTGATTTTTTTTAAAAGAGCACATATTTTTTAATATATTATATAATATTATGATAGTAGCATATAAAATAAGTATAACCATATACTCTAAGTATACAAACATACTTGTCATTCATAGTAATCTAGATGGTCTAGTATGATGATATACTCCATCTACATATACTTCGTTGGGCAATATACGCCCTAAATCTAGAGATAGACACATGAGAGTAACTACTCCCCAGAAGTAGGAAATAATTTCCATATATATATATATATATATATATATATATATATAGAGAGAGAGAGAGAGAGAGATATTAAGTTTCTCTCAAAAACATATATCAATCTGTGTTGTTCCTATAGTTGTCGTGTGATTAACATGCAAATCCATCCATATTTTATCCTGGATACCCGCAGCAATGCGTGGAGAGTTCTTCTAGTTACAATAAAGAGGATGTGCTAATTGTTATTTTCCATATTAAAGGTTTTGCAAGTGAAAAAAAATGTTCCATATTATTAAAGGTTTTGCAAGTGTTGTCGTGTGATTAACATGCAAATCCGTCCATATTTTACCTTGGATACCCGCAGCAATGCGCGGGGAGTTCTTCTAGTTGCAATAAAGAGGATGTGCTAATTGTTATTTTCCATGTTAAAGGTTTTGCAAGTGAAAAAAAATGTTCCATATTATCAAAGGTTTTGCAAGTGAAAAAAAATTACAAAGAGGGCCCAACCGGTGGTCAATTGATCTGCAGTCAATTGCTCTACCACTGAGCTATGGACCCTGATTTGCTTAAATTTGTTATAGAATTTATTTGTCGAATGTGCACTAAAATAATGGCGAAGGCCATTTTGGAAGTAGTGCTGTTGCATTGGAGTTATGGCAGGCTTGTAGAAACCATGTAATGTTACCTTACTCTCAAAACTACAATGGTTGTGATATCAAATTGCGTAAATCGTGGAAGAACAAACCTTTCTCAATTTTTTTCTCGAATACGCAAAAGATTTGCGTATCATTGTATTAAAAAAAGAGTTTAAACATACAGACAACGCGCTCTATCGAGCGCCGAAGGAGATTGAGCAAAAACAGCCGTAGCTGGGCCATCCTAGCAAAAGACCTCTGGTTTCGATATTACATAAATGGAAAACAACCAAAACCGACGCAGCGGTGCGACCTAGGAGGTGGCCTTGCATCTTCGCGGCTACTTGGACGAGCCCTTTCCACCGTTTGGGAAGAGCGCTTCCAACGCTTCGGCATTGGACGCAGTCAGGTTGCCGTCGAAGATCTTGTTAAGGGCCTTCAGTTCCGACTCGAATGGCGTTGATAGACCCTTGGTGTAGCCCATACGCTGCATGATCAGCACCTCACCTCGCTTAGAAGCAGGTACTCGAGAGATGCTCTGAGCCGCCAACCGTCTGCTCCGCAGCGGCATCACCGGCTTAGCAGGAGGCTGCTTGGGAGGCTTGCGAATAAGCGGAGAGTCGACCTTCTTAAGCACGCGCCTAGTGAAGCTCTTGAGGCGGCGTGCGGCGGAGCTGTCGCTAAGGTCTACTATGCGGTCCTCCCGAGGCGGCGTAATTGAACATGTCTGCAACCACCGCAGGGTCGGCCGGACCGTAGCCAGGCGAACCGCCCACCTCGTCCTGCTGCGTCAGCTCCTGAGGTGGTCTGCGCGGCCTGAGTCGGTGTGACTGACCGTCTTGAAGTGGCAGTGGAACCGAGTCCGTTGCCAACTGAGCAGGGTGGGAGACCATCATCGAATTGGCGTAGGTGCTCGCACGGGTGGCTGCGAACGAGCCTGCAACCTCCTCCAGCATCGGGTCCTCCGAGACTTCACGTGTGGCAACAAAGTCAGTATCGTTTCTCAAAATCACTAGTTGCCTTTAAGGATTATAGAGTAATGTATAATAGTTTTTTTTTTTGCAATGAGTACAATAGTTTATGAGTTGGTATACATCATTCAAGAGATATATGTATTGGTGCACATGTGGTTTTGGTAATTGAGGTGACAACAAAGTAATATAACTTTTTTTTTCGATCAATTCGGTGGAACTTAGTCCCACATACTTTTCATTGAATGAGCAGCCAAAGTACAGGCAAATACATAATACACCTGGCATACTGGGGCAAGAAGGAGATGAACAATTAGGGGAAAGGAGGGAATTTTTACGGCCAAAGTAATATTACTTATTAAGATATTAATACATGTATATAGGTTCTATGGACGCAATATAAAAGGATAGCATGAAGAAATGCCAGAGAAGCGAGAGGAGATGGCAAACACTTAGAGGAAAAATAATAAAGACTAGAAATTCGAACTGGCTTGACTGAAGTATGGAACACCGAACAATGACTTGAGCAGATAGTCCAATGGGGTGAATTTTAACTTATCGCAGTATTCGATGTGTTAGTGAAAGAAGATAAGTAAAATAAGCTGACTGGAGTATGCATAGTACTTGGCTGAGTTAGACAAGAAAAAACCAACCGATGATCTGATTGTTTGAAAATGATTTAATGGGAGGATCCAACATAGTTGTGTTAAAATTGGACCTGCAAGTTAAATTCTTCTATCTTAATACAATGATGCACAAATATTTTGCTTATTCAAGAAAAAAAAATGGACTTGCAGAAAATACGAAGACCTGAAGATCTGCTCTGAGGACCCGAGTATGTAACATTGTTTCCAACGGCTAGTGGAGTGTTATAAAAAAAACAGCTAGTGGAGAAGGTGTACTGACCGAATGATCTAGTGGTACTCTAAAGAAGATCTTTGTGACCGAAGAACGACCTTTGGAGCGTTAACGTGGGCTGGGGGTGTCATTTGTCAATCGATGAAAAGGGATACTTGGCGCGTCCTATGTAGGGAATTTGCCTTCAAACTCACCTCCTCTATTTAACACATTTTATGCCAGATTGCTTGTTTTGAGTGCTTTTACTGTTACCTAGAGTAGTTCGTAGGATATCTTATAAAATTTAGCTATATTATGTCGCAAAACTCCTTTGGATGATAAATAGATCACTAGTTTAGCCATAGTTGGTTCACATTCACGTGCATACTGAGACACCATGATTTCCTAAGTTACATATATATTACCACCACCATGGTTTTCTTGATGTCTCAGACAAAGAAATGCGCTAACTACAACCTCCTTTTTCACGTCTAAAACCTCAGGTGTACCTACACTTTCTATGTAAAAAAAAACCCAGCTATACTTGAGTACAGGGAGTACTTTTTATCCCAAATACTGAGATGATGCCGTTGCTCAAGCGTAAGTTGAAATGTAGTATCAAATCAAATACAATAAATATAAAAGTAAAACTACTTTGATGGGATGGGTGCACGACCTGGCATTTACTAAGTTAGTCTCCTTTTGTTTGAGAGAAAAAAAAAAGAAAGAAAACCATTATGGATTCAAAAAAAAGTTTTTAGAACAATTTATTTAATATTTAATTAGATTAAAAATAGATAGTGCATCTAGGGCCCAACCGGGTTCGAACCGGTGACCTATTGATCTGCAGTCAATTGCTCTACCACTGAGCTATGGACCCTTGGACATATGCTCTAACTACAAAATAATATTAGTAGATACAGTGATTAGGCATCACCCATAACCCATTTTTTTTACTGTCAATGAGGGGGAAAGGCTCCCCACCTGTTTTTTCTTATCATTGATCTAGGCTCAAGGAGCCCATCTATTTGAAGAGTTACATCGTCATCATTTACAATTTACTGATTACATAAAGGTAACAAGAGTTGGCACCAAACATCAGCTACCTCCCTATCCTTCTTTGGTAATCGAGATCTCCAAAGCTTTGCATCACACATAACCCATAGCAGAAGCTATCTTGGTCTTCACACATATTACATACCCTCTTAGATTTGGGATCACAGATTCACATCTATGTTGTGCTGCTTGTTGTTGTAGTAGGAGCCCCAACGAGGTTGTTATGCCACCACTTGAGGCCGGCAACACTCACTCTTGAATTCAAACTCCAAGAAAAAAGAAGTCGTTGCTGTAATGGTGAAGCTATGGTGGTCAGCCAGACAGTGGCTGGTTCGTGCTGACCAGACTGATCTTCCTAGACGAGACACAAGATAGAAAGCAAGAGCACACTAATCCAAAGTAAACTTTCCTTAAGATAATACTCCCTCCATCCTAAATTGTAAGTCATTCTAAGAATCTTGGAGAGTCAAAGTTTTTCAAGTTTAACCAAATTTATATAACAAAATAATAATATTTATCATACCAAGTAAGTATCATTAGATTCTTTATTAGTTATATTTTCATATTATACCTATTTGATGTCATCAATCTTTGTGTTTCTCTCTATAATTTTAATCAAACTTGAAAAAGTTTGACTCTCCAAGATTCTTGGAATGACTTACAATTTAGGATGGAGGGAGTAAAAGATTTTATATATCCAGGCTTCATCCTCTAACTAGAGGAACCACAACACCTTATTACAAATATCACGCCGCAACCGTTGCACTGAGTTTACATGACAAATTGGACTAAAAAGTCTATTATTCTCCAACCTGCGGCATGCCTTCAGCACTGGTTCCTTTTGCCCCGTACTCATACAAAGTCGCTAGTATGTGTATGTCTTTCGAAAAGACTTGCACAATAGTTTTTTTTTGTCGACAATTATTAAAAGAAACTTATGTTCCTTCTCAGTCAATGCCTCAATGGATCGACAGATTGACGCTGCTAGAAAGGATCCAAAAGTTTTATCAAAGTAAAGGCTCCGTTCGGCTTGCTGAAACTTTGTTGAAATTAGATGAAAAACATTGTTCTGGCTGAATTGTTGTGAAAGAAAAACACTGTTCCGACTGAAAAAACAAGTTGAATAGTACAAATTATAAGGTATGCCGAACGAGGCCAAAAACTTGGAACAAGAAAATTTTGGCACCAGGAGTAGTGCGTTGCTGCAAAAATTCCCACCGCATAACATAATATAATCAAAATCAAAATAACGAGGAATTTTGTCACTCATAAGCCATAACCCAGACTTGGTACTGTATGTATATAATCGCATTGTTATTCTCTCGGGTCACATCACGTGCTCCACGGTTCGGTCCGTTGAAAAATTGTGCCCGGACCGACCCGGTCTTTGACCACCGGCTCCCTGCACGTGTCGCCCTCCCTGTCCTGACACCAGCGGGCCAGGTCTACCCCACCATGTCAGCGGCACGGACCGCGTACCGACGGAGGGCCCACCACCAGCTCCGTCGACAAGAGCAAGATACCAACGGGCCCACCCGTCAGCCGCGCGAGGGACGAGGCGGGGCGGTCGTTTCCTGGCCTTTTCCTTCCCTTGTCGTGGACGTATGCCGCGGTCGTCGCCGGGAGCCGGCCGCGGGAGGAGATCGGTTCCACGCGGACCTGGTCTGGTCTACTACTAATCTCTAAATCTCTATCTCTAGCACTAGCAGCGTATCATTTGGGGGGCGGCGATCGCTGTGCTATTGCGTGCTTGGAGCAGGTTTGGGGGTAGCCACACTACACTACTCGCCCCGATTTCCCTCCGGCTGCCGGCGTTCGTGTTGCAGGGATCGTTCGTGGAAGCGCGCGGCTCCCGGCTTTTGATCGGAGAGAGAGAGAGAGAGAGAGAGAGAGAGGAGAGGAGAGGAGAGAGGGAGGGAGGGAGGGAGGGAGAGGGGGAGGGGAGGAAGGGGATGGACGCGGGGGCGGCGGCGGCGCAGATGGAGAAGCACTCGTCGGCGGTGGCCTTCGTGGAGGGCGGCGTCCAGGACGCCTGCGACGACGCCTGCAGCATCTGCCTCGAGGCCTTCTCCGACAGCGACCCCTCCGCGGTACGTGCTGCACTGCTCCCGTACGTGCTGAGAGGATTCGTCACCTGCCTTGCGCGTCCGGGTTCTTGACTCTCTTCTTCTTGTCTGCGCTGCGCAGGTGACCAGCTGCAGGCACGAGTTCCACCTCCAGTGCATCCTCGAGTGGTGAGCACTCAGCTTTGCCTGTCTTTGATTGCTTTCCTGCTGTTTTCTCTGTGTTTGTTTTCATATCCGTGTGTTGCTATCATCAATTGATCATGTCAAGGACACTGCAATCCACTGCGCAGTTGTTCTATCGTGTTGCCGTGTACCCTCGCTCCTCATTTCGATCAGTGCTGAATGCGATGCGTTAATCTGAATCTCTGCCTGACACACTCTGAATGTGAATGTAATTTGGACGAGTTGCAAGCTCTGCTCTGAATCACTGTTTGCTTGTCTTACTTAGTTGCCAGCATTGGTGTTACTGTGTATTGTACTAATTGCGTTACTCTTCGTGGTCCTTGAGTGACACTACTTCTGAGCATTCTGATTGATCATTGATCATGCCTACAGGTGCCAGAGAAGCTCCCAGTGTCCCATGTGTTGGCAGGCAATCAGCATGAAGGACCCCATGAGGTACAGATTCTGCTATACCACCACCAATGCATGCGTCCACTGAATTTCGTTTAAAGGGTTGGCCTCACTCTCACACGCATTGCTTACCTCCTACTGCAGCCAAGAGCTCCTTGAGGCTGTTGAGGAAGAGCGGAACGCGCAAGAAAATCACGCGCGAAACACAACCATTTTCCGTCATCCACTGCTCGGGGATTTTGAGGTGCTCACGTATATCTGACATTCACATTCAGAGTGTGCTTCCATTGATGGCATGCTTGTATGCTCAATTCCTGCACAGTTACTGATGCCACTGTATCTTCCATTCCAGGTACCGGTGGATGCAGATGATGCCGAGATTGAGGAGCGAATCCTACAGCACTTGGCTGCCGCTGCCGCCATTCGTAGGTCACACCGCCATGCTAGAAGAGAAGACCGTCGCAGCAGATCGGCAGCTCATGGTCATGGCCACCCACAAATTCTGTTCTTTCCAACTGCTGCTGAGGCCACTCCTGGTGGTTCTCTGTCTTCACATCCACCGCAAGAAGGGGACCATGAACATGCTTCTGCTGTAGTTTCTTCTCGGCCACTGCCTACTGTGGACTCCGCAGAAGAAACAGCTGCAGACACATCTGTGAATTACAATGCCTCGGTTGATGGCCCTGTTGGGTCAAATGATAGGTATTTCCTGCAGAATAGTACTGTACTACTGTCTATATTTATCTGTTTGCTTGTCATTTACATGAGATTAACTAATTAACACTTGCTACTTGATGATCTGGATCAGTGTTTCTAGGAACCAGTCTTCGCCTGCCAACCAAGATGAAGCTGGACCATCTGATGCACAGTCATTCTCAGACACAATCAAATCTCGGCTGCAGTCGGTTTCTACAAAGTACATTTCTACATTTTTACTCCTGTGACTATAAGAATCAGATATGCTGAGAAATTCTAAAGCATCACTTAACTTACATAAGCATACACTCTTCTCATTATCATCAACACTACCAGGTACAAGGATTCCATATCGAAAAGTACGCGCGGGTGGAAGGAAAGGTGGTTCGCACAGAACAGCACCATATCAAACCTTGGTTCAGAGATGAGGAGGGAGGTCAATGCTGGGATCGCTGCTGTGTCTCGCATGATTGAGAAACTAGAGACACGGGATGGAAATGGAACAGGGATGTCGTCTGCTACTGCTTCTCCAGCCGTTCTCCATCCTGGTTCAGATGCAGATAGTCAAGGAGCTGTCGTCCCCCCTACAGCTGCAACTGCTTTACATAACGCCCCGTCTTCATCAACAGCTTGAATGCCAAGATCAGGTTCTCAATGAGTTTACACTAGATATGGTTTTGAAGTGCGGTATGTGCTATGTATGCTTGTACTACAGAAGATGTACTTCACAGCGTGTCGCTTGTATAATTGGTTTGTCACTTGCTCATTAGTCAGCGAAGTAGATGTTACTACATGCCAAGTGTTCAGTGAATGTTTCAGAATAAAGTTAGATGTGCACAACCAAGAGAACATGGAAACGTTTTTATGGACCTATATATTCCTATCATATGTCAGGCATCGTAAAGTGTACTGCATTAGTGTGTATGATGATAGAGTGGGAAAACAGCAATCGATACAGTACTCACATCTTAGCTGTCAATTATGCTAAGATGATGCTGCAGCACCTTCTGAAAATCCAATCACACAGACTTTGAACTTGATAAGCAGATGTCCTGATTCTCAGCTACCAGCTACTTGATCCTTTACACATTCGTCCTAGTTGTTGTATATTTTACTTTCTGATGATGAAAAGTTTGGTCATATATACCACTCGGATTTGAAGGAAATCTCTTTTTTTTCTCGAATACGCAAAAGATTTGCGTATCATTGTATTAAGGAGAAGAGTTTAAAGAAAAACATACAACGCGCTTCTATCGAGCGCCGAAGGAGGTCGACCTAACACAGCCGAAGCTGGACCATCCTAGCAAAAGGCCCCATGTTTCGATATTACATAAAAGGAAACAACCAATATTGACGCAGCTTTATGGCCTAGGTGGCCTTGCATCTTCGCGCCTGCCTGGACGGTGCCTTTCCAACAGCCAGGAAGAGCTCGTCTAGTGCCTCCGCTTCGGACGCAGTCAAGTTGCCGTCGAAGAGCCTGTCAAAGGCCTCCAACACCGAAGCAGATGGCGCAGATGGACCCCTGGTATAGCCCACACGCTGCATGATCAGCACCTCACCTCGCTTGGAAGCTGGCACTCGGGAGAGGCTCTGAGCCGCCAACCGCTCTGCTCCGCCACGGTACCGGCTTAGCAGGAGGCTGCTTAAGAGGCTCGCGAATTAGCAGAGAGTCCCTCTTACGCGTGACATTGTTGATGAAGCTGTCGAGACGTCGTTTGGCGGAGTCGTCGTTGTCCACAACCTGGTGGATAACCCCTGGTGGTGAACTGGAAGGGCCATCCACCGTGAGGTCGACCGTGTGTGTCTTCGGCGAGTCCACTGCCCACTGAATGGGGCGTGGGGTGGTGTCCGCAGCACACAGGAGGCTACCGCATCCTCCAGCTGGGGGGGCGCCACCGCCGGTGCCTCATCCGAAAGCTGGGGGTCGCCTGTAACACCCCGGTGTTATGACAGCATTTAGGCACTGCAAATCATGCATATCATGCATCATCAAGCATCCTAATCATACATGCCTAATCATGTAAATAACAACTGAAACACTACTTTGAAACATACGAAACATGTTCGTTAAACCTGAATGTTGCATGCACTTGTTAGAGTTATTTTTGCCCTGGTTATGTTTGCTAGGCTAGTAAAACATGTTTGGCTACTATTGTAAATCATCTAGGATTATTTAGTTCAATTTTTGGAGCAAGGTTTGTATTCAAATTAATTCAAAATTTTGCTTCAAAAATAATTCCCCAAAAATTAGGGTTTTGAGTTAAACATTGACTTTGATTTTGTAATTCAAAATCTATCAAGAATTTGGCTTTGCTCATAAAAGCAAAGTTGTAGAGAATTAAATTCTAAGCAACTTTCATTTTTGGACTATTTTCAAAAGAAGTCATTTTCTTGCTCAAAAGGGTATTTGAAAACTGATATTTGAAATTTCTTTGAAATCAGAAAATTGGAAAATATTTTTTTCTCTTTCGCGGGCCGCCGCCTCGTTTCTTGGCCCATGGCCAAAGCCGGCCCGGCCTGCAGCAGCGAGCCTCCCGCGCCAGGCGCCGCTACGCCTCACCAGACCAGCCCCACCGTTCCCACCTGCTCTTCCTTTCGCTGACACGCCACGATCATGGGCAGAACGCACGCCACCATAAGCGGCCATGCCGCCGTCGCCGCCGCCATGGTCAGGCTGCCCGCCTCGCGCCCCCCACACGCCCCGCCTACGCCCATACAGCTAAAGCAGCTGCACTTTCGCCTTCACTCTCCCGCTACCTCTCCTCTCTCGCCAAGTGCCGAGCTCACCCACTCTCTCCTCGCCATACCCGCCCGCACCCCGTCGGCAAATTCGCCTTCTCCTCCACCTCGGCCAGCAATCGTGCGCCCTTGACTCCGCCTCGCTCTCCGCACGTGGTGCTCGGCGCTTGTGCCGATTGTCGAGCTCAGTGGCGCCTTCGCGCCTCGCCACCGTCGGCCATGGCGGCGCGTCGTTCGGGCCGCCGTGGAAGGCGCCCTTCCTTCTCTTCTCCACCACCGCTTAGCTACCTTCCCGCCTTCGCCGACTTCTCGCGAACCGCATCGCCCGCTTAGCTTCGCTTCTGTCACGGCCGGGCAATGGCCAGCCGGTCCCGTTAGCGAGCCAAGCAGCGCATGACGTCACGTCAGCGGCGTCGCGTGGCCGCCTCGGCCGAGCTAGGCCGAGAGGCCATGGGCCGACGCCACCAGCCGCCTCCCCTTCTCTTCGCTCGGGCAGCGCGAATGGTGTGGCGATGGGCGGCTGATTCACATGGGCCGCCCAAGAGTAATAGGAGGATTCGTTTTCCATTTTTCTTTATTATTTGAAAATAGAAAATGGTTTAGAAAATGTTTGGATACTCAAATTTGCTTCAAATCTGTTAAAATAAATTTTTCTAGGTTCCTTATCATCAGATCTACTTGGAAAAATTATTGCATGTCATTTTGGGATACTTCTCTATAGAACTTTATTTAATCATGGATATTGCTGATAACTTGAAAAATATGTAGAAAAACCTATAGGCTTCAGAAAAATATGATTCCAAGTTTGTTGATCTTCTTATGTAATGTACTTCCTAGGAAAAATATGTTTCATGCATGTGCTGTAGGAAAATTTTGAGGTGTAGTTCAAGTACCTTTAATGGCTGATTTTTGTTATTTTTGCTAGAGAGCAAACTTTGTATAAAATATGCATGTGATAATTTTTGTACAGTGATTGTATGTTATAAAGATCATAGGAAAAATGCTAACTCTGTTGTTTGACACTTTTCACAGTACAAAGTATTTTCCTGTTCATAATTGTGCCATAGCTTGTTATTTTTGTGTAGGCTAATCCACTCATTCAAATACCATGAAAATCTGATAGTAGACTACTTAGGGTAGTACTATGCTATGGTAATTTTCTAAGATTTTTCTAATCAATAAAAATAGATGTTGCTATTCAAACCTATTATTAATTAGGGTTTAAGCAAGTGTTGCTTTAAGTGTGATTAAGAAATTAATGAAGCTTTGGTGTATCTTTGAAGCATTCAATAAGATGTGTTGACTTAACATATTAGTAGTAGAAGAGAATGCAGTAGATGACATGTGCTCGTAGTATATGTTCTTGGATGATGTTGACTACCTTGCATTTAAACATATCCATTGTATTCATCTCATTCGATGCACCGATTGCATAAGCACTTACGCACATTGCATCATACAAGATCGTAAACCGAGAACCCAGTCGTCATACCCGAGGAGCCCGAGGAGCAGCTCGAGGTGCAGCCGTAGGAAGTGCCCGAAGCCGACGAGGAGGACGTTGAGGAACTTCCGGAGTGCCCCGATCACCGTCCGAGCTCCTTCGAGAGAGGCAAGCCCCGAAGCATTTTTCTCCTGGTTTGCAATTATTAATTAAATGTTTTACTTTAATTGATGCATTACGTTCAGGAGTTGTTTGCAACCGTTGCTGCATTATACCTTGTTTACCTTTGTTATACTATATCCTTGTTACCCTGGTATCCGCAGTCGAGTCAATGCTTAGCTGGCTTAGACCGGTAGAAGTCGGGTGATTTCCTGTCACCTGCGAGGTATAGGTGGTTACCTGGATCTGCTTGGATGACTATGAAGTCATGGTATAACTAAGTGTTAAATGAAGTTGAGACCGGACGGAGACTTGCAGAGTTTTGGACTGTAGTGTTTTCCGTCTGTGTCGATTAAGGACCGACCGTTGTTGGGCCTCGAGTCATGTTGAACGCATGCCTTACATTTAGCTGGCCGGATAAAGTACCTTCCGACCGCGAAGTTGGGAGATTATTCGGGCCGAGTAGATTTCCCGCAGCGCACTGTGCCGGAGAAGGTGTGGTAGTTCACGGGGGCGAGATGATAAGACCAAAGTGCAGTCGGTCGGCCCCCGGGTACATGTGGTTCCTGGCAAACTCGAGATACCTGGATAGTTGACTCGGTGATCAATATCTCACTTTAGCGGGTGAGTGAGGTTTGTGTAAGGAATAAATCACCAGCTGGTTAGGAATCGATTCGAATCGCCATCGCTCCTGGATAGTGAGCACTTGACTTAAGTTACTTCATCGTAGTAAATGTTTATGGAACACTTGGACAGCTATAATGAATATGACAGTATGGAAGTTGTTTAATGATCATTGATTATCATTATCTGCTTAATCACATGTTTGCTCTAGTGTAGGTGCAAATCTAGTCGACAGGTTATAAATAATTAATTTGGCAATAATACTTTTAGAAGGGTTCTTGAAATGCTAAAAATGCTTTCTTTGCAAATGAGTCAGCTACCCTACTATAAAGCCTTCATAATCCTTGGTGTCACTTATTTTCGGTTATGTCGGGTAAGTCTAGCTGAGTACCTTCTCGTACTCAGGGTTTTATTCCCACTTGTTGCAGATGGGCAGATGTATTACGGCTACTGTATCAACTGCCTTTATCCTGTGATGGGTGATGCTTAGGACCATGGACATGGTCATTCCTTACGTCTCGTCTAATGCTTTTGTTGGAGCTAATCATTCACTGACACTGTATTTGAACTCCATGTGAGTGTGTGTGGTTTGAACAAATGATTTCCGCTACTTTTAATTGAATTTATTTTGTAATAACTATGTTTAAACTCCGATGTATCTGAGATGCAACTTTTTATGTAATATGTGATGGTGACCGCTAAACTTATTACGATCTTGGCTGGAATGGAAGTTGGTTTGAAATCCTTCGTGATTTCACGGACTACCGGGTTATACGGGCTTAAGTTTGCTAAATCGTCTGCTCTGGCGGATGATTTTCTTACTTAATTTCGTATAATTGATCGGTTCTGTTACATCGCCGAAGTTGACGGGAGGTGCTCAAGGGAAGGCCACGCGGTGATCTAACTGTCGATGAGCGAGGCTGCGAAACTCCTCAACCATCGGGTCCTCCGAGATGTCGCGATCCTGCGTGGCGCCCAGGTGCAACGTGAGCGTCAACGGGTCGGGTTCAACCATGCCCGTCGCGTTGGTCAGCCCACCATGCCTTGCCTCTGTTCCAGCAGCGACCGAGGTGAAGTCCGATGCCGTTTGAAGGAAATCTCAAATGAAGATCAAAGGCCAAAGGCCAAGATCTGTGGCAATACAGTTAAGGACCTGTCCTGTAGGCACATGACGACCGTCAAGAGTCTTCATACGGAGGGGTGTGTGTGTGCGCGCGCGCGCTGACTGCTGAGTGGTGACTGGTGATCTGGACCCCCTGAACAGCGAAGCAGTTGAAGCTTGGTGCAGTCGTCAAGACAACACACACACGGATTCGTCAGCCATTGAAGAAGGTGGAGATCCCCATCATTAGGTTCCATCCGCTACCCTGCCATGCGCTAGCGTCGTAGCGACTAATAATGGAGATGGTCTGCTGTCGCGAGAGAAGAACGCCGGGAATATCTGGTCAAGAGATGCTGGGCCCAATCCAGTGCCCCGGCCCAGAAAGAGGGTGGGAAGGCCCCCCATCACCCACCTTGATGCAGTAATAAGCCGATCCCACAGCGTCTTTCGGCCTGAACAACAACAGCTTGGGCCCTGTTTGGACACTGTTCGCATACACGGTCGTTTAGTCGGTGTACACACCGTGTAAACGCTACACATTGGATTACCGTATCCATTTAATCAGCCATTATTTATCCTATTTAATCACCATTTAATCCGTTTAAATAGCTATTTAGTCCGAATAAATAGCTAAACGGTAGGTGACTATTTAGTCCATTTAAACGTTTAGGCCAACACTGTGTTTGGATATGCTGTTCAGATAATCGAGCTGCTTTTACGCAGCCGTGACCAATGATCACCAGCTTGCTCATCGAAGAAATGAACTACGTCTCCTGCAGCCAGTGCGTGATTTTTTCCACCGTCCGCCAAACGCTTTGTGGTAGGCCAGTCTAGAATCGACTTTCAATCGGAAACAAATAGGGTGTCAGGCACTTAGTTTTATACGGCAAATCTAGGATTCGAAGCAGCTGCGAAGCAAGAGCAAAACAGAGCAGGATACAACACTCTGACACTATATAGTGGTATAGCCGTATAGCTGCTAGCAGAAATATATATGCTGACAATTAGAGGGTGATAATTGATTTTTGTTTGGTCTGAGTGCACCCGCACCCGTAGTAGCGGACGATATAGATCCATCATCCGTGGTTCCAAGACCCATCATCCTTTATAATCACCCATTCCCACCCAACTACACACGTACTACTCCGTCCCATAAAAAGAGTTGCGATGAGACTCATGTTTCAAGCTTTCTTAAATTTAACTAAGTTTGTAAAATATATTAGCAACATTTATATCCTCAATAAGTCTATTATGAAGATATATTTAATGACCTACCTAATGATACTAACTAGTATTATCAATGTTAATATTTTTAATATATATTTGGTTAAAGTTCAAAGTGTTTCACTTTTCAGAAAGCGAGAATGATATTTTTTATGAGACGAAGGGAGTACACCACACACATGGAGAGAGCGTGAAAAATATCTGTTTTAAGAAATGATATGGTCTATCATCTTTCCATCCGTCTTCTCTTTTTCTCTCTGTCTCTAAAATAGAATGGGTTAATCCATCACCACTTCAATTCTCTCAAGGTAATAATTAATTCATGCATTATTCGAGAAAAAATAATTAATTCAGGCATGAGAAAAACTCGTTCCCTAGCCTCTCTCTCCATTGACCACCGGACTTTACTCCACACCTGCTCACAGCATGTCCCCTTGGAAAAATCTCCAAATAATTAATTCCAAGCATCTATATAATAGAAAGTGTCTTCTATTTTTTTTCAGGTCCTGATGAGCATGTCTGTTGCTTCTGAAGTGTCACCTTCAGTAGTAGGCCGGCCGTTTCTTCAGTTCTCAAACCAAGCTTCCGTGTCAATATGAAGGAGACACCGTCCTTGTCCCACCATGACGTGCGACCTGTTCATATTCACATGGATGTGACGAACAGGTTGAACAATCTACCGTCTACGTACAGATGAGCATATATATGGTAGTGCAGTACATGCCACACATACACTTCGTTTGCTTCTGTAGAATCTGCGTGCAGTGCCAACGACATGCATGTTTTATTTGCCTAGTGTGTACCATGGAGACCATGTCACTAGTCAGACAAACGCAGTACATGAAAACATGTTCCCATCTGGCTACTAACAATCAGTACTCCAAATTATAAATCGCTTTAAATTTTTTTTAGTATATTCATTTTGTTATATATATATAGATAAATAACATGTCTAGATACATAGTAAAATGGATGAAAAAAATCAAAACGAATTATAATTTGAAAGGGAGGGAGTAATATACAGTAGTAGGATCCCAGAAGGAGCACGAACTGAACAGTGTCATTGTCACCGTTGAGACTTCGCTTTCCTGCCACTCAGCAATCAGCATGTATCCTGTACCACATGTTTGATAGTATTTTTTTAAGCTACAAGAGTACACAATGAACAGTTTACATGGATGCACAATAATTCAGAGCCAGAGCAAGTTACAGTTCTCGGACCAAACTGGCCTCTACTAGTTCCATAGTTATTACCAGTTGATTAATTAGCTCAATGTTCACTGACTAATTAACCATGTGAATTGTTATCTCATCACAGCACTGTCAGTCAATCTGATCATCACTGCACATGCATGTTTCTTTGTGACTGGAAGGTCTGTTTCTGATTGGGGAGGCAGGTCGGTACATAGCAAGTTCAGGCAGCCACGACTACAAGCAACAGCGCTAGCCTCCTCTCCCCTCTCTCTTGCCAATCTCTACCCTTCCTCTCTATCTAGTTCTGGGAGGAACACACCAGAAGAAGAGAAGAAGAAGCAAAATACGGAGGAGAATCACCAAGCCAATCTCTTCACCGCAAAGGCCATCATCGGAACATCATGTTTAGTTCACCCTAACTCCCAACCTTGACACTATGCAAAAAGAAGATTCCCCGTCACATCAAACTTGCGGTGCATGTATGGAGTACTAAATGTTGACGAAATCAAAAACTAATTGCACAGTTTGGTTGTACTTTGCGAGACGAACGTTTTGAGCCTAATTAGTCAACGATTGGACAATTATTACCAAATACAAACAAAATGCTACAGTGCGCGACAGTATCGCTGGAAATCCGACGGCGCCAATTCCGGGCGCAACTAAACGCGGCCTTAGTCCTCCACAACGGCATGTCCTCTAAATCTTGGAAACACCACAAAATCCAGCAGTAAGAGAACTTCTCAGGATGCATCTGATGACAGTTAAAAGAGCATTGACCGTCTCATCATCAAAGATGATCAATAAACCATCAATCTGACACCACCAATACCAGCCATGCTTGAACTAAAAAACCCAAACAACTTCCCGACCATTGCGAGATCGAAATCCAACGAGCTGGTGACACAAAGAGGACCGCGGCGGTGACAATGGAGAAGCCCTAGGTGGCGGCTACAGCCGGCGGCGGTGGAAGACGTCTAGGAAGAGGATGTTAGCCAGGACCTGTCGAACACTCGAACCTAATAATGGTCAAGCATTACAGGAGCCGCCGGCCGCGACACATATTTTCTTTACACAAGCAGACAACCGTAAACTGTTGTGTGGTGCATCAGTCTGTTTCATGACCGACCGTTAACTGTTGTCCTGCATCATCAGTCTGTTTCATGACTGACCAAAATGGCCAGCACGACTAAATGCGTACATCAAAACTCTCTTTATATGGCACCACGAAACACCTCCGTAACTCCGTTGTACACTACACCCTACACGTCCCAAGGCAACAACGGCTAAAGGAGCTCGCTCACGCCACCAACCACCGATGTCTGTGGCCATGGCAATGGCGGCCATCTTGGCCGCCGTCTACGTCCTCAGGTATCTACTCTCTCCGAGCGGCAGGCGCAAGTCACTGAACCTTCCACCTGGCCCGCGGGGATGGCCGGTGATCGGCAGCCTCGGCGCACTGGCAGGCGCGCTCCAGCCGCACCGCGTGCTGGCCGCGCTGGCGGCGCGCCACGGCCCGCTCATGCACCTGCGCCTCGGCTCCTACCACACGGTGGTGGCCTCGTCGGTGGACACCGCCCGGCTCGTCCTCAAGACCCACGACCTCGCCTTCGCCGACCGGCCGCGCACGGCCGCCGGCGAGGTCACCTCCTACGGCTACCTCGGCATCGTGCACACCCCGTGCGGCGCCTACTGGCGCATGGCGCGCAAGCTCTGCGCCACCGAGCTCTTCTCTGCGCGCCGAGTGGACTCGTTCCGGCGAGTCCGGGAGCAGGAGATGCGCGCGCTCGTGCGCGGTGTGTTCGAGTGCGCCGGCCGCGGCGCCGTCGCGGTCGCCGTCAGGGAGCATGTCGCCAGCGCCACGATGCGGAACATCCTCCGCATGGCGGTCGGGGAGAAGTGGTCGGGATGCTACGGCAGCCCCGAGGGCGAGTAGTTCCGGCGCACGCTGGATGAGGCGTTCGCGGCGACCGGCGCGGTGAGCAACATCGGCGAGTGGGTGCCGTTGCTGGGCTGGCTCGACCTGCAGGGCTTCAGGCGGAAGATGAAGCGGTTGCACGATCTTCACGACCACTTCTACGAGAACATCCTCGTCGAGCACGAGGAACGGCGGCGGCGGGTAGCTCAAGCCGGCGGCGAATTTGTGCGACTGACCTCGTCGACGTGCTGTTGCAGCTCGCCGAGGACACCCAGACGCAGGAGTCGGAGGCCAGTCTCCCTCGCGACGGCGTGAAGGCCTTCATCCAGGACATCATCGCCGGTGGCACGGAGAGATCGGCGGTGACGATCGAGTGGGCCATATCGGAGCTTCTGCGCCACCCGGAGGCCATGGCCGCCGCCACCGACGAGCTCGACCGCGTGGTGGGCAGCGGGCGCTGGGTCGCGGAGCACGACCTGCCGGAGCTCCCCTACATCGACGCCGTCGTGAAGGAGACGCTGCGGCTGCACCCCGTGGGCCCCCTCCTCGTTCCGCACCACGCCCGCCAGGACACGGTGGTGGCCGGCTACGACGTCCCCGCGGGCGCGCCCGTGCTGGTGAACGCGTGGGCCATCGCGCGCGACCAGGCGTCGTGGCCCGACGCACCCGACACGTTCCGCCCGGACTGGTTCCTGGGCGCCTCCGTGGACGTGCGCGGGGCGCACTTCGAGCTGCTGCCGTTCGGCTCCGGGCGGCGGATCTGCCCCGCGTACGACCTCGCGATGAAGCCGGTGGCCGGCGGCGTGGCGAACCTGGTGCACGGGTTCGCGTGGCGGCTGCCGGACGGGGTGGCGCCAGAGGACGTGAGCATGGAGGACCACGTCGGGCTGTCCACGCGCCGGAAGGTGCCGCTCGTTGCCGTCGCCGAGCCCAGGCTGCTGGCGCACCTCTACGCCGCCACCGAGTAATCGGGTTTACGCTTTGGACGAAGATGCATTGCAATGTCGAATAAAGGATTGTCTGTGTACAGCACTCGAATTTGTGTGGTCGTTTAATGAAAATGATATCGTTCAAAATAAAATAAAACAAAAATGATAATGTTTTGTTACGACCGTCCGCCCCATCCCGACACTGCACGACTCACTCCGCTGTCATTCTACTCCCCCATCCCGCCCCGCGCGACTCACTCCTCAAAAAAAAAAAATCCTACTTGTCCCACTCCGTTGGCCGCCGCGGCCATCCCTGTGCGCGTTGCTTGCGCCCGGCCACATCACGCTGCTACCGCACGCCCCATCCTGCGCCCGCCCGCTCACTCCGCCATCCCCCCGCGCGCACCCATTCAGCGCCGCCACGCGCCCACTCCGCCTCCGTGCGGCCATCAACTCCGTCTTCGGCCGGCCATCCACTCGGCCTACGTGTGCCCCCACTCTGCCTTCGTGCGGCCATCCGTCGCGGCCACGGCGTGCACCGCCACTACCACCCTTGCGCCACCGGGAGAAGGTCGTCACCGGCCGGGACATCGTCTCCCGCGGTCGACTGAAGAGACCACGGTAGTGAGGACCCGTATGTTGTAAATGTATGTTTCAAGTGTTTCAGACGTTTCATAAGTATGTTGCAATCGTTTCATCTTGATGTTGCAAAAGTAGATTAGGGGATGTTGCACATGTTGCAAGTGTTTTAGAGGCATGTTGCAAGTATTTGTTCAAAATGTTTCATCTGTTTCTAGACGTATGTTGCAATCGTTCTGATCTGGATGTTTCATATGCTTCACACAAATGGTGCAATAATATGATCCAAATGTTACAGCTGTTTCGATCTTATGTTGCAGCAAGTTGTTTTTCATGTTGCAAGTTGCAAATGTTTTATTTGAGTGTTATATTTTTTTGGCCGGGACAAGCCGGGGGCCGGCGGACGGGGGTGCGCGGCTTGCCGGGGGCTAGCGGATGGGGGCGCTAGGGAGCCGGTGGACGGGGGTGCTGCGGTCGAGGGGGCGCTGGGGGCGTGCTCGTCGCACACGTGGGGCAGTGCTAAGGCGAACGCGACGGGCTGCGGGGTGAGCTGGGGACGTGCGGCGTGCCAGAGGGCTAACGGACGGGGGGTGCTGCGCTCAAGGGGGCGGCACGCTAGGGGCGTGCTCGTCCACGTGTTGGACAGGGACGAAGGTGGACGCGGGCGGGTTAAGCGGGCGTCTGGACGCGCACGGTGTGCCATACATCCGGGCGCTAGCCGTGAAAAAAAAATCCAACGATCCATATAGCCTTTTTCTTCCTCCGTCAACCTCAGCCACCGTTGGCTGTCCTTCCCCGTGACCTCCCTCGTTGTACACAAAAATGAAATGGCAGAGCAAGTAGAAAACTTCGTCCAAAACTAGAACATGTATGCCCAGCGACGAACGCAGGAGTAACAACTTGACAAAAAGTTCCTGAAAACTAAAAACCGACTTAGATTCACTAATGTCTTGCATGGTTTGCGAATTGATCATAGCTCAGCTGGTTGGATTCTTTGAAGTGGAACATGTCCACTTGGATTAGGTCCTCGACTTGACACATATGCATATATTTTTCTGGATTTGTTTTAGTATTTAACGAAGTTGTTGTTTCACTAGTAGGCAACACATCCGTCGACAATGAGGCATCTACGATGCTCGAGATCTACCGGCTCAAGCCTCACTCTTTCACTAGAGGGTGCGTGTATGAACTCATAGAGGTGAGTGTGCAAACATATATGAGTGTCTTTGTTTGTACTTTGATAAAAATCTTTCACCGTTAGAGAGACAAATCTAACTAATTCCTTTTTTTTCTCTAGAGAGACAATTGTGACCATTGTGCATGTGGCCTGTCTCAAAGTTCATTTGCCTTAAAGTTGTGACTCGCCCCTCTCCCTCGCGACTCGCCCTAGCGTCGCCCCCGCCCTCCTCCTCCTTCCACCACCGCTGGTCCCCCTCCCTTCTCCTCCGCCATCTAGCCGGAGGCCGGAGGGAGTGAGGATACATCGCTTTTAATAAGTTTTCTAGTAGATCGAGTTCTTAGGGTTAGGGTCTCTCCATACAAAATTTCTTGGTATTGGGGATTTATCTTCTCCTTTTCCTCTCCGGCGACGGCGAGGGGGCCGGGTGGAATCGTTTTCTCCATGATGACTCTGTTGAAGATGAGAGTGACAACTACGGCTCAACAGCTTCATCAGCACAACGACATGGAGACTTTTCTTTCCGAACGGCGGCATATGATGTCGCTGCCATGGAATAATTTTCTCCGGTCTCTTCTCCGTTTTGTTGTGTCTAGATCTGGCCACGACGAGGACTAGTGAGAATAAGTTTCAGATCAGTCTTTCTCATTTTTCGATGGCAGAAAGAAAAAGAAAGACACAAGAAAGAAGAACATTCTCAACTCCGCCTACAGGAATGTTGGTCGTCGTTCGTTAGACATCTGTTCTCAGGCCTTCTGCCTTTTGCCTTTGCGGTCGTCTATATGAAGCGTCATACAATTTGGTTTTGAGATTTGGAGCTATTCATAGCATGGGTACGATATAGGTGAAAATCAGTTTCTGGATATATATATATATATATATATATATATATATATATATATATATATATATATATATATATTGTATTCAAGAGTGCTTGTAATGTGTCGATGTACCCCGCTATTATTTAATATAAAATTCTTCTTTCATCTAAAAAAACGTTCATTTGCCTTTTCTCTTGGGCCACGTGCTGCAGGCCCATCTGCTTGGAGCCCAGCCAAAAAGCTTTGCTTGCCGATTGTGACGATTCGCTTGGAGCCCAGCCCAGCGAAAGTTCATTTTGGTTGCATCTAGAGAAAAGTCTTTTTCAACCCATCATCAAATTTGTTTGTAGCGGATAACGTACCTCCCTGGCCCCTGCTGCTCTCTGCTGATCTGCTCTACTCAGCTCTGCTCCGCAGCTCATGGCTTCCTCCTCCGTCTCCCTCCGTGGCGCCATCCTCCAGCGGCCCCACCTCACGCCCCGCCCCGCCGCCCGACGCGCCTTCACGACGAGGCGCCGCGCCGTGCCCGCCAAGATCTCCTGCGTCGGATGGGTAACTCTTCTCCCTGTCTCTGTGGACTGTGGTTTACCCCGGCGCGACAACTTATCCGGCCGGCGGCCGTCTCCCGTTTCTTGACTATGATGATGATGACCGCCTTTGGGTTGGGCTGGGCAGGACCCCGAGGGCATCCTGGGCGCGCCGCAGGGCGGCCACATCGCGCGCCTCGAGTTCCGCCGCCGCCTCGAGAGGGACTCCGAGGCGCGCGAGGCCTTCGAGCGCCAGGTGCGCGAGGAGAAGGAGCGCCGCCGCAACGAGCGCGAGGTGCGCCCGTGATCCTAATCCCTCCCTCCCTCCCTTCCTCCCCTGCCGGCGCTCCGTTTCCAGACGCGTTCCTGATGCTGCTGCCTGCTGCTAGGATAGGCGCGGGTGATCCCGGACACGGACGCCGGCCTCGTCGAGTTCTTCCTCGACACCGACGCGCGCGAGATCGAGATCGAGATCGGCAGGCTACGGCCAAGGCTCAGCCAGGACTTCTTCGGCCATATCTCGCGCGAAATAGCACAGATCAAATTTGCAGTCACCAGAACAGCGGTAGACCTACCCTTCCTTTCCTTGTGGACTGCAAATTAGAATGATGATGAACCGGCTGAACTCTGCTGAAATCATTTTTTTTGTAAATAAAAAATGCAGGAGATGGAAGACAGACTGATCGAGCTGGAGGCGATGCAGAAGGTTCTTCTTGAGGGAGTTGGTCAGTTAAATTCTGCACCGACGGTCGGCATTACCGTGAAATCTACATTATAACCGTGTCTAACTGTAACGGTTCCTGGTATTGCAGAGGCGTATGACAAGTTGCAGAAGGACCTTGTTACAGCGAAAGAACGGCTCATGAAGATTCTTCAATCCAGTGACAGAAAATCGACAGTAAGATCCATACAAGGATAAAAGAAAACTCTTTCCAACTTTTTTCCCCTGAAACTCCTCGATCGGTCAGTTAATAAGTTGGTTGCTGTTGTTAACTATTTTTACACAGTTACTGGAAATGGTGGAGCGGAATGAGCTCAATATATCCATATTAACACTTCTTGATGAGAATATAGCAAGTGCGAAGACGAGTAATCAGGTGGGTGCGGTGTCTCAGCTGACTATCAAATGTGCTGAATAGACTAGGAATATGGTACATCTTTGATCATCTGCATTTCCTAGTTCACTACTTATGTGCTATTGTTCATCTGCTTTGCAGGATGAGGCGGCTGCTTTCATGGAGGATGTGAGATCATCTCTTGTGAAATATATAACAATATAAATCTTGTTTTTACATATTCGCAAAAAAAAGGCTCATTGCCTGGGCATTGTACTTGTATCCATGGCATAATTTTCAGAAACATGGGTTTTGGAAAGCGACATGTACTTGTATTTTTTTTTAGGATATCTTGCGGATGTGGAAATCTGAATTATTTCCGCCTGTCTGTATGTCACGGTCCGAGTCAAGAGCCCAGAACGAAGCATCAAGAGTAAACGAGCCAGGAAGCCCAACCCGTGAGTCTTGGGCCGGAATGGAAGAAGTAAGCAGGCCAAGCCCAACTGCGTCTGGTGTATCGCTGCGAGACAGCTGTAAACGTCTATATGAGTGAGGGGAGGAAATCGAATTCGACTAATCTTGGTTGGCGACGGCATAGGCGGCGAGCTGGCTTGAGATCGCCGGCGTCCTTCGATTCCACAGGTACTTGTATCCAGATATTTCCAGTGATTCTAATCGAACTCATAGTAGTCCATCGTATCCACCTATGTTGCCTAGTATTGTTACATTTGGTATCGGATTCATCTCGATCCCGGGAGTTTTGGAGTTCGTCGCCTCGATCACGTCTGTAATCCTCGTCGGCAGAATCGCGTGATCCACTTCGGTGTCGATTGCGTGTATTCATAGGTCCGATCCGAGGTCTGACGGGCCGGCGTCGAAATCCTGGCTCACGCCCACCATACTTGCCTCGAAGTCACCATGAAGGTCGGGGACCAACTCGCTCTTATCCTCAACAAGCTCGATGAACAGACCAAGGGAATCAACGAGGGGAACCAGCGGATCAACGAGGTCCAGGTTTCCATCGAAGATCTCAAGGCCTCGTCACATCGCCTCTCCGAGAAACGTGCGCACGCCACCTTTGGCCGCTCCCTCGAAGGACGCGTCGGATGACGGTTTTCCCCATTTGATGGGCCGAGAACCGCCATAGGTAAGGAGGGATACGGAGCTGAAAATGCTCCCATGGCCCATTCATACCTAGGAGTTCGAAGGTTGGCCCACCGACGGGTTTACAACCACTCTGGAGTGCCTTTAGAGTGAGGGGTGGAAAGGGATGGGCTCGCTAGAGGCCAGTACCCGGGCGCACGAGTGCCGCAGGCATCCCGGCCCATGTTCGAGTCTTGGTCGGTTCACAGTCCATGGTTTTTCCTCGAAGAAAGGTAGGGAGCCCTTGGGACCGGTCGAACGGACCCAAGAACTATATGAATTGGCCGCCAAGAATCTGGAGTCGGTCACCAGCTGACCCATGCTGGACCCCCGCGAACGGGAAGCTGGGGCCCCACTCGGACTAGCCCGTTAATAGCTCACCGAGCACCATGATTCATCCATCGAGGAAAACATGGCACGGCTCAACCCCTCCGTTTTATCAAAAAAAAACGCTTGAGGGAGGACGATCACAAGACGAGCTGATCCCTCGATCGGACCCCTGCTACGCGAGGGGGCTCAAGGGGAATTGGACTCGCGAAGAGACCGAATACGCAGTCGTGTGACGATGGCGGATCGATTTGGTCCTAAGAGGGGCCAGAATTAAGGAAAATACTCTCCGGTTCCCAAAGAAATCCCAGAGCTACATATTCCCAAGGAGTCCGATTGTGACAAAAGGGAATCGCAACCCTACCAAGACACCCCCGCGGGCCACAAATGGAGACCGAGGCCCTCAAAGTCCTCCCACCTGAAAAAAGCCTCCAAAGGAGTATTCTACTCCTCCGCAGGCTCGAGGGCTACTGTCGGGTATCGATATTTGGGATACCCGGAGAAAGGAAGTTAACATCCATGAACGTTAATTCGCCCGGATGGTCCAAGACGTATTTAAGGTCTCGCCCGACCCCGAGGGCGCTGGCTCCGTCTCGCCCGACTCCGAGGGCACGGGCCCCGTCTCGCTAGACCCCTCGGGCACGGGCTCCGTCTCGCCCGACCCCGAGGGCGCGGGCCTTGTCTCGCCCGACCCCGAGGGCGCGGGCTCCGTCTCGCCTGACGGCGATCCATACCGCCTCCAACCACTACGGGTCTAAGTGTACGACCTCAGGGTCAAACTTCTGACACTGGGAGGGAAGCGGGCACGTCTTGACGTGACCCGTGGCCACGATAGGCCACGCCCGGGGGTTCGCATCGCCAACAGTGACGGGTGCGTGAGCGCTGTGCTGCCTAATCCCCGTACGGTCGCTGACAGGCACGTCGGTTCACCACGCCGTCCGTCGAGACGGGATGAGACGCCACGACCAGCTGATGACGTCGAGGCATGGCACCAGTGGTGAATAGGAGCCCGACATGGAGCCGTCTCTGTCATCATCTACAGGACCGGTGGGACCCGCATAAAGGAGATGAAGGACGCCGCGACCCTAGAGGCTTTCTTCTCCCTGGGTTTTCTCCTTTTCTCTCTCTGTAACCTGCGCCTTCCCCTTCACCTATAAAATGGGAAGCGGGACGCCCCATGAAGGGGAGAGAGGCACGAGCACACGACTGAACGAGCTCAACAAGACTCAACTCCGTTCGATCTTTTCACCAGAGACTTGTGACCTTCTCCCTCTCTCGCCCGTTTGTAACCCCTACTATAAACTAGTGCCGGTAACACGAGCAGCAGCAAACTGGACGTAGGGACATTCCGTCCGAACCAGTATAAATCCTTGTGTCCTCCGAGCACACTATCCGGACCAGACATGACTAGCCGGTGACACGAAACACCGACAGTTGTGCAACGAGATCACCATGAGACAACTGGTCTGGTGGGCTCCATGTCACTGCATATGCCTCCGGCTTGAAGGCCTTTTCACCTTCACGAGGAGTTGAATATACTGTGATGTTGAGCATAATGATGATTACTAGTGTAGAAGTAAAAGCTGCACATTTTACTTGTTCGAAGCTCACTAATTCCTAATAAATAATCAATATGAAATGAGTACCTTGTTGGAGTTTGTGTTCAACAAAGCTAGAACCAGAGTCCGGTGCCAGTGCTGCCACTGACGACAAGAATGAGTTGGATCCCTCCCCTACGAAACTCCCTTCGATCCTGGTCGACGGGGACACTAGCCTGCTCAACTCAAGGTTTGAAGATAAGGTGTTCGACTAAAAGGCCCTTAAACTCACCCTAAGAAGTTCTGTAGTGGTGGTTGTGTTGCTGCTCGTTGTGTTAGATTGATCTCCCAGCCAATAAGCCCAACGGCCTATTGGGCCTTGGTCACGCGCCCTGATCGGGGGCGCCCAACCCTACATGGTTGGTGGGCCCCCGTCGCACTGCGCTATATAAAGAGGTGGGGGCCGGCGGCTCGAGGTACGAGGTTCACCGTGAGCCGCAAACCCCACCGACAAACCCTAGACCGATCTAAGAGGGCACGCAGCCAGCGACGGGAAGCTCCACTGACTTTGCCGTCGTCACTCTTACGCCGTCCGTCTGCACTACATCGACGTCCGTGCCACCTCTACTCCACCCGTCGCTGCCCGTGTGCTGCCTCCATCACCGAAGCTGAGATGGCTGGCTCCACGACTCCCTCCGAGGGCTCAGGTTCAACACCAACACCTCTCTCTTTATCTCTCCGATCTTTCCCCTCTGTTCATCCCGTATTCAAAGGAACAAACCCTAGATCTACTGCTAGAGATCCTAACTGAACTTAACAATGGTATCAGAGCCAACCTATCTAGTACGTGGATCTAGATCAGAAAAAATCCAAAGAAATTGGTCCGATTTTGAATCGGATCAAGAAAGAGAAACCCTAACCCTAACAGAAAGGGGACGGTCATTAGGGGCTTCGGTCGACATAGGGTTCGGTTGAATCCTAACCTCGATCCCTTCGGATCTGAGAAAAGATGAAGGTTCGGATGAAGAACACCTAACCCTAACTCTAGAGAGCTCGGGAAAAGGAAAGAAAGAACCGATTTCAAATCGAGGGAAAAGAAAACAGTGACCATCCCACACCCTAACCCTAACCCTAATCGGCAAATCGGATCAAATCCGAACAAATGAATCAAAGAAAGGGGAAGAAAGGGAAGGGGTGGCCTACCTCGCCGTTGCGCGGCACCGAAGTCACGCCGGCGCGCGGGGAAAAGAAAGGCCGGCCGGGGGCTCGGCTCATCGGGATCCGGCCACAGGGGCGCCGCGGCCAGGCCGCTCGATGGCGGCGCGCTCACTCGCTGGGGAGCGCGCACGCCGGCGAGTGGGCCGACGACGGCGCCAGGACCTCGCTGCTTGCTCTCGCCGTGGTCGCTCGCTTGGTGACTAACTGAGGGAGAGCTGTGAGGCGAAGAGAAAGAGAAAGAATGAGGGCTAGGGTTTAGGGAGCGACGGCGTACGCTGGTTTTGATCCAGCGAAATTGAAGGCCGACCGTCCGATCGCGTTGGACGATCAGGATTCACCGCGCCATGGCTCGGGCCTCTTTTGGCCCAGGCGGGCGATGCTGCTCGGCCGAATTCCCGGCCCAGGACCAGGTTGCGGCCTAGGCGTGGGGGAGCGCGCTAAAAGCCGCCTGCAGCCGTGGGTTGTAGGCCGGTTGCGCTGCTCTGGGCCGAAATGGCCGAACACAGTGAAATGTTTTCTTTTTTTTATTTTCCAGAAACTTTTGATTCATATTTGATAAATTCGAACTGAATTTTGATGTTGAAATCTGTACAATTTTGATCCAACGTCAATTTTATTCAGAGAATAGTAAAGTGTTGTAACAGTTTCTAGAAAATAGAATTAAAAAGATTTATTAAAGTTTCCGCTGCGTACTTAAAAATTGTTGCTTTCATTATTAAATTCGAACCAACGGGAGAATTTAATTTTGAAACATAGATAATTTTTACAGTTATTATAATGTTGTTATTATTCTGACCAATGTTGATTAATAGCAATATTATAATATTGATGTTATTATGGTTTTTTGTTATGCATTATTTCTATTTCTGCCCAACGGTGATGTAGATTTAATGTATAAAACAATTGTATGTTTTAATTTTGACCAACGTTAAACTAAGGCATGCAATTGTTGTTGTTATTATTTGTGTTCTCACACTATTTGAATTGTGTTTTCAGGAG